ACAAGTAATAAACAGACTGAGAGAGAAATTAGGGAAATCACACTTTTTCACAATAGCATCTAAAAAGATGAAATACTTAGGAATCAATCTAGCAAAAGAAGTAAAAGATCTATACAGTGAAAATTATAGTACTCTGAAAAAAGAGATTGAAGAGGATATCAGAAAATGGAAAGATATTCCTTGTTCATGGATAGTAAGAACCAACATTGTGAAAATGGCCATACTCCCAAAATTGTTTTACAGATTCAATGCAATCCCAATTAAATACCATTAGTATACCTCACAGATCTACAGAAAACACACCTAAAGTTCATCTGGAACCAGAAGAGGCCTAGAATAGCAAAAGCAATCTTGGGAAAAAAAAGAAAAGGCAGGAGGCATCATAATTCCTGACTTGAAATCATATTACAAAGCTACTGTGATAAAATCAGCATGGTACTGGCACAAAAACAGACCTGAAGATCAGTGGAATAGATTAGAAGATACAGATACAGCTACAAACACACTCAATCACCTTATGTTCAACAAAGAGGTCAAACATGTTCAGTGGAAGGAAGATAGCCTCTTTAATAAATGGTGCTGGAAAAACGGGCTTTCCACATGTCTGAGTCTCAGACTAGATCCATGTCTTTCACCATGCACTAAACTAAAGTCAAAATGGATCAAAGATCTAAATATTAAAACAGAAACACTAAATTTTTTGGAAGAGAAAGTAGGTAAAAATCTTGACGACACTGGGTTAGGCAGAGAGTTCATGAACAAAAACCAAACAGCACGGGAAATACTTCAAAGAATTAACAGCTGGGATCTCATCTTATCAAGAAGTTTTTGCACATCTAAAGAAATCACCAATAAGGTAAAAAGAAAACCCACGAATTGGGAAAAAATTTTAGCCAACTGCCTCTCAGACAAAGGACGTTTACCTACGACATATAAAGAATTTTAAAAAATCCAGCCTCCGAAATTCAAAGGCTCAATCCAAAAATGGGCATAAGAGATGAATACACACTTCTCTAATGAAGAGATACTAGTGGCGAATAAATATATGAAAAAATGTTCAGAGTCATTTGTCATTCAAAAAATGCAAATTAAAACAACACTGAGATTCCATCTCACCCCAGAAAGAATGGCTGTCATCAAGAAATCAACCCATAACAAATGCTGGAGAGGCTGTGGGGAGAAAGAAATTCTACTCCACTGCTGGTG